ATTTGACCATAGGTTACGTTTTAACTTGCATATTGAGCTCTCGATTAGCAAAGCTAGGTCCGCGCTTGGTTTTATAAAAAGGTGGTCCAAGGAGCTTGATGATCCCTACATTACGAAAAGGCTGTACATGTGTTTGGTTAGACCCATACTCGAGTATGCCTCAGTTGTGTGGTCTCCTTCATATAGGTGCTACGTAGATTCAATTGAATCTGTTCAAAAGCAATTCTTGCTGTTTGCCCTTAGAAATTTGGGTTGGGATCCGATTGCCTCTCTTCCTCCGTATGAAAATAGGTTGCTTCTGCTGTCCCTACCGTCTCTTGAGAAACGTAGATTTGTTCTTGGCGTTTCCTTTCTAATTAAAGTAATAAATGGTGCTATTGACTCGCCTTTATTACTTGGTGAAATAAGCTTTAATGTCCCTAACCGCTTCTATAGGCATTTTATCTTGGTTAAGCTTAATCAGTGTAAATTTAATTATGAGCTGTTCAATCCGCTCAGAGTCGGTTGCAAGAACCTAAATGACGTCTACCACTTATTCTCGTTATCGGACTCTTTAAAGTCCATTAATGCAACATTGCTTAATACGCGCGATTTACCTATGTCGTATTTAAACTAGCTTTTATCCTTTAAAAGTCGTTACGTTTCGAAAGTGAATTATTGTCAATTTATTATCGGTTGCCAGGCTTATGCATGTTTGCGATGGCTTAGGGGTTCATTTGCAATTTGGTTCTGTACCGGTTGTAAGTGTGCTCCTATGCTGATAGTGTACATGCTTTTTTTTCTTTTTTTTTCTTCTTATTTGTTTTATTATGCTTATACTCAACTTTATTGTTAATTAATATTAGTTTTGCATTAAGAGCGTATTGAACTCGACTGTTATTTGTTTAGTTGAGTTTCTAGTATAAGTGGAATAAAATAAATAAATAAATAAATAGGCAGATATTATATCCACTTGGACAATTTCTAGGCTCATTTGCGCTACTAGGACAGCTAAAACGCACTGGAGAATAGATATCGTCAAAACCCTCCCCTGAACATTGCGAAGATCCTTTAGCCACGATACGTACTTTTTTCTTACCGTTTTCTTTGTCTAAAATACATAACGCTTACCGATTGTTCTGTCTATCGGCCTTTCGGTTATCATCCACGTATCGTTGACTAGTTGAGCTATCAATTCACCTTCCGTGTGTTTTATCCATTAGTTGCCAACTTCTCATTGAATGGCTTCTCTATGGGATTTTGTGTTATCACGAATAAGGTTAGTACTTTCATACTCTAAGTATTCTTCATAATTCTCATTTTCTTCGTTTGTGTATTATGGATATAACTTTCTTGGGCGGCTTGTTTGGTCTGTTTTAGCTATGCGTGGACGCCCGCTTACAAGTTTCTACTGTTAAGCCTTCTTTGATGAGATACATTTTTAATTAAATTATCTAAAGTAAATTATCTATTTCGTTCCGTTTGAATAACTTAATCACTAGAACATACTGAATCTTGACTCGAATTTACCCATCGTTTAGTTTTCCGACAATAAATAAGCTTTTAAACGAAAGATTTTCATACATGCCACAGTTGGAGTTTTTCTCATTCTCACCCATTTAAGGGTTGCATGCGACATTTGCTTTGAATACAAAAGGCCGTGTTAGTAACCCTTGCCCAAAGCGACGGTGACGCGCCAGCTCATACGAGCAAGCAGGTAGTCATTAATATCAAAGCACAGTTTTTGTGTTCTGCAAGTCCATTTTTCTGTGGTGTACAGCGTGCACAAAAACGTCTCTTCATATTTCTTCAAAAAGTTACCAAAGTCATTGCTGTTCTCTACTATTATTTGATTGCAGTATGTTGATCTTCTTGGCGGTACCCTTCTCAGCCATAGTTTTGTATGTGTGGATAGCGCTTAAAACATCATATTTTTGCTTAAAAATAAATACCTCTCAATAGCGGGAATAATCATCCGTAAGTTAACGAAGTATCTAGTGTCCGAAAGCGATACAACCCTCATAGGTGCACGCACGGCACTGTGTACTATTTCTAGCGGATTCTTTGTTCCAATTTTGCTGTGTTAGTGAAATCATTGTTGCCTTTGCTTTTCGTTAAGGCAAATTTCGTATGGAGTTAGATTCCCACTTAGTGAAAACTTAAGACACTGCATAGAATTTATCCTAAATTTTGGGTCACGTTCACTTAAATGAGCGACTCGGCCGTATCATACGTCTACGTCATTTGATTCGATTTGTATCACCTTTCAGTAAAATATTTCCATTTTTTGTTACAATAGCATCATTCTTTCCAAAAATTACGTCGTAGCCCTATTTTTCATAAAGATAGCAATTTGATTTTCCAATCAGGAACTTTTGATATATCATGAATATCAACGACTTGGCCGGCTTTGTTTATAAGTATTGTTACAGCGCCTGTGCCAGCAATGTTCGTAATACTATGGCTTGTCAAATTCAAAACTTGGTGTGCTTTAAGTTTGAAGGTATTTCGATTGGGGCAAATGTATTTTCATCATCCGGTATCCATGCATGACACATCGTCACCCCCTGATGATACATCTATATTCTTCATTAGTAAATAAAGTTTCATTTGCGTTTCCTGTTGTATTTCAAGTCAGCTGCTTCCGTTTGCAATTTGGGGTGAAATTCCCTGGCTTACCACATACGTTTTTGTTTGGTATATTTCGCATGTCCATTCTCTAAACTTTGTTATTCATTTTTAAAATGATGATTAGTGTAACGTAACATAATTAATGAGTTCCTCTCCGTACCCAGTAATTTGTTGAACACGATGCTTTGATCTAATGGTGGTTATATGTAAAAAATCATTCTATTGTTAACTTTTTCGGGTCGTTAACTCAGCGTCTATCACTTGTTTCCATATATCCGCATTCACTTATGTTCTGCATCTCACGATTTCAGTTATTCCAACACACTCGCCATTTTTTATCTTATTAATTAATTATTATCGTACTTACTATCAATTCAAATAGCACATTTTCCATATTACGGTTTGCCCGTTGGCACTTACGCGTCTGTTTGTTTGTAGACGTTCGTTTAACTTATTTCAAAATTTTCATATTTTTCCCGTTGATATTCCAGCTGTAATAAATAGTCTATTCACTATTGTCCATTCTGGAGTTTACTCCAGAACATTGATATCAAGCTATAGTTATGTAGGAATTAATGGTTTATAGAGTTATAAAATCATTTAAAAATGCTATTAGACAAGACAAAAAAAGTAACTATAATTACGATAACTTAAAAAGCGAAGGCACCAATTTTAATAAAGGCAGGTGCTTAAGATGAGTTTTATTGCGAACAAAGAAGATATCATATAGGTTACTAAAGATACCAAAAATTTCAAATGAATATTTAATGTTGTTGAATTTGTTGCTTAAGATGGTCAGCCCATTTTTTTGTGTGACACTCATCACATATACCACATGGCACCCCACCAATTATATTTAAATAGAGTTTGTTATATGCGTGATTGCACATGAGTATGCTGAACACTTCAATCTCCCATGTGGTAAAGTTGGTATCAGCAAGATGTCATGAAAGAATGAATTTTATAGAAAAGAGGGTTTTCATTAGGACCTATTTTTTTTGAAGGAAAGATGACGCATAAGAAAGATTAATTCGGAACCGAATATAATTAATCTCCACACTACTTGCATTATATTTAGGACATATGATATATTAAATTTTGGGGGCGCCTACGTAGCTCCGAAAGGACTTACTATAGAGCTATCTTTCATTGCCCTTCAAATCAATTTCCGAACTGATTTAAATTTTCTGGTCGTCCGATTTCTGCTCATGTGCTCGATCTACAGGTCGTAATTCTGGAGATAGTTGGATGAAGTTTTGTTTTTTGGGTCAAGAACGAGGGCTGTTAAAAATGGTTTGGATACCACCGTTTTTATGGGTATTCTTGATGTAGCCTCGAAATTTAAAAAACTGGTTACATGCAAAATATTAGAAATTTCAGACTTTCTTGATAAAAAGTGGTGAACAATGGTGAAAAATTGGAATCGAATTGGCCACGTTTCTGATTCCCCTATCATGTAACCGTTTATACAAAAATAAGGCTTAATATGACAAAAAGGTTTAACTTTTTCTTTAAATGCTCTTTCTTTACATTTTGGCAAGTAAGGGCAATACTATCATTTAAACGTATGGAAGCTTACTCCAGTGGCTGGCTGTTCTTAACCTATACACAGCCAAATTACTTGAAATTCAAGTGCAAAAGCATATTTTTATACCCGTCACCGAAGAATGTAAACAGGCTGTCCGTCTTTGTAATGTCTGTTGTAAGCATGCTCCTGGCCGCAGAAATGCATCTCTTGACTTTAAATCCCTGGAAATCCTTGTGCGGAAGGCGCCATTGAAAATGGGCCAAACCGACACCCTACAGTACTAATTAAAGTGAGAGCTCTGCTTTCCAAAAGGGACGTAAATTGTTTTTTGCGCATTGCTTTTAAGCTACGGCAAATAAATCTACAAAAATTTTAACACATGTTTTGTGGGTGATGCTGAAGTGCGTGTACGATAATAGGAAAAATTGACCAAGGCTACCCAATATTATAGTGTCAAAATTTCAGTTTTTTTCGATAATTTTATAAAGCGAAGAAGCAAACTGCGAAAATTATATAAGATATATAAATTCTTGACCAGTTTCAAACTCGGAATGCATCTGAATATGTCCGTCTGCCCAACCGTGTAGCATCTGCGGTAAACATTTTCCCGTTCGCCAGAATGAAAATATTGCTTACAAATTGGCAAAAGAATTTGTAGGTGTAGTAAGGAGGGACACGTCTAACGCTAAAAGAAGGAGCTTTAATAACTTTACATCACACATGGTGACTGTATTTTGATCTTTTTATTTTTGTTTAAATTTAAATTTACCAATAAAAGATTTGTTAATTACCCCCTGTTTTGATTTCATAGTTGTTACAATTATTTTGTAAATATTTTTATTTTAATTTCGATTTGCGCTGTTTTATAAATACGTGTCATGTCCTCAATGATTTTTATAAGTACTATTCCAGCAACAAGTCAACAAGGACTACACATTAGGGGATAACAGTGTATTTTATGTTATTCTACCTCTTCTTATTTATTAAAATAACTTGAAAATATCTATATAACTCAACAGTAAATTATAATTAATTCATTTTCAAACCAAAAAAGTAGATAAAATTCAGAAAATTGAATTATCATTAATTTACATTTTGAAGAACATTAAATAACTGGAAATATTAGAATTAAAAGAAATGCAAAGGGAAGAGAAGTTTACATTCAATTGATCTTTTTATATCCGCCACCTTTAATATTGTTTTTGAAAAAATGGAGGTATACGACCTCAAAAAAACAATAGAGACATGTTTTATTGACAAATTTGTATGTAATAAGTTGAAGTATATTCATATGGTTGTTTATATTTTTATGTAGAAAAAAGTTAGGTGGATAAACTGTAATGTAATTAAAAATGATGAATTTTTTACTTTGAACTTTATAACTTAGTGGGTTTCGAATTTTAAACAAGTTCTATAAAGTACGAAGGTAACATCAATCTTTCATTCGACTTGTTAAACAATTTTAAAGCTGTTAGTTCTAAGTTAGTAAGTTATAAGTTATATCACGCATCTTTAAGTTTTATATAGTTTCAGTCCTCCATTCAAGATCTTCTCTATGAATCTGAATATAACCTCATGAAAGCGTGGCAATATATATTTTAATATTGTATTTATTAAAATAAGATCAGCTCACAGGAAAGCATCGTTAGGTGGGCTAATACTCTCGATAATTAATTTCAATTAACAATTGTCATTCTCCCGAAAATCAAATATTTTTTATTTTAACGTATTTTAGGTATTCTAAAAAGTAGTAGAGGAAGTGTTCATTGACGACAAATGTCACTCATTGCATATAACTACGTTGCAATTGCATAAAATTAATATCCTTAAGTTATTAGAATTCTCCCTATCACAAGCCGAGTAATTTTTAGATCATTTAATATATGCTCTTGATAGATAAATATATTACGCAAAATAACAAAATTAATATATTATCCGGTGGCGGATATTAAGCATGTTTTTTAAATAAAAATTTAAAATCACTTCAATATATAATTTTACTGTCTAATGGGTTGGTACTTTATTCGAACATCTTGACGTTGATGTGAGTGGACGAACTTAACATGTTGCTTGAAATCCTGAGAATTAGCGAATAAATGCAAACAATATGAACACTGTACAGCTGGATAGCTTCGATACTTTAAGGCAGTGGTTCTGTTCTTGTCATCATTATTAATATTTAAAGTCCTTCTTTCACTTAATTTTAATAAATCATAAAGCCACAAATTCGCGTTGTACTCTACTTGTCGATACGTTTCATTATTTTTAGGCACTTGGTGCTGCTGCTGATGTTGCCGCAGCTTCCGCTGTTGTTTGTGTTTCGTGCTGACTGTTACTGCGTTTTTCATCCTCTTGCATCCGTTATTGCAATTTTCATCAACTTTCGCACAGGGAACTTGAATATGTTTACGTTTCTGTTTTTGTTGCGTGTTGTTTAAACACTGTAAAGAGTGATTTTCTAAAATCTTCACAGTTCGAAAGAACTTCTGGCATGTCTCACATTTATGAAACTCGTCGTGGACATGATGTTGCAGTAAATGCAAATTGTAAAGTCGAAAACCCTTAAATTTTTGCCTACAATAGCCGCACGTGTAAATTTGAAGGTAAACTTGTTTAAGTGGTGGTCTAACTTTAACAATTTTCAACTGCTTCAAATGTTCATTAAGTTGCTTTTCCTTTTCTTTTCGTTTGAGTTTTGTTTTCTTACAAGTTTTTAGTATTTTTTGTTCGTCAATTATTGTCATCTTTTTAGTTTCTGATATTTCATTAAGTCTACGTTTACGCTTGCTTAAAGTTTCTTTGGATTCTATTAGAGCTTTATTAGATGATTGTAATTTTTTATTACCTTTCGGTTTTTCGTCTTTCCTACGAGGTGAGTTGGAGCGATGTTGGCCTAAATGACGTAAGTGATGTAAATAACCCACCACCACTTTACGACACAGTTTACATTCAAAAAAGAATGTTTTACGTTTGGTAAATTGATAAATACGTGCAGTTTGTGCCACCTCCTTTTGTCGGCTGGCGTTCCAGCCAAAAGCGCTAACCTGAAACAATTCGCGGAGATGCGTTCTGTATTGATTGGGCTGATGAGCGGCTAACAAATGCCGACATAGTGATAAATACTGAGCACCGCATTTAACTTTACATACGGGACATTTAAGTTGCTTCATAATAGGATCTTTAAGACAACGCGATTCCATTGCATGCTTTTCCAAGATGTGTTCTTTGTGCTCCTTATACACCTCATTGATGTGCCCACATAACTGACATTCATAAAAGGTGGACTGTTGCATATAACGCAAACGAATTGTCATTGCACTATCCTGCGGAGCGCGCGGTCTTTCCATGAGTACATGCCCGTTATATTCACGGTGTTTATATCGCATATGATGAACCAAAGATTGTGCTTTTGGAAAACCTAATTTACACTGAGGACATTTAACAATCACATGAATGGGTGGATGATTTGTTGAAGCTTTCCGATCGGCAAGTGTGGCCTGGCAATCTGTACATTCAAAGGCAGGTTTCACAGCTGGAGCTACTGGGGAAACTTGTTTAACCATCTCCTGCGCCTTTTCTGTTTTCATTTTATTATCGGATTCTGCTTCGGAATCACTAGAGAGTAAACTAAGGCTGGCTACCAACCGTAATTGTTTACCATCATAACTGCTACGATTTTTTTCTTTAGTCATCGTTCTCGATTCCGGCCCTACCTTACGAAATACAATCTCGTTGTCGCCATCATCAGTTTCAGCTGTATGTCCTAAATTTAAAGTTGGTTGAAAAATTAAAGACTCTTTCAAAGGTATTTGTTGCTGGTGAGTAAGCGCTTTAGCTGGTGACGGTAATGAATCCTCGCCATCCTCCAGATCAATAATTGCTACTATACGATGACCGTGCTTATCAACCATGACTTGGGATGCAGGAATAGGTGCTGGCAAAGCTGTTATTAGTTCAGAAGTAGAATCCACATCTGTAGGTCTACAACCATTTATTATATTTGTTTCTTCACATTGCGCTCCTTTCGATCTCTCCTGCACTACCTGTTGCTGTTGTTGTTGTAAGTGCTTTTGTTGCTCCATTTTTTGCATAAACAAACTGTATAACATATCGTCATCATCAACTATAACCGGTGAATCAGCACGGGGTCTACTTGTTATGCTTATCCCGGTTATTGAATGATTGTTTGAATTAACCACATCAATCTCTATGTCTTCGTTAATATCTTGAACATTATCGTCTAAGCGGTGGAATATTTTTAACCGTTCATCGCAATCCAGACAAATGTTACCCAAAAGAGGCGTCGTACGAAAAAGCTAAAAGTAACAAACATGAACAGACAGTGAAATATTAAACCATTCTTAAGAGTACAGCCATATGTATATGTTTTACCCTTTCCATGTACTACGTTTCAAAAAAATGTTTTTTGTGCAACACTTATGGCAAACTTACTTTTTTTGAAGCCCTATCATTTTTCCGCCCTTCTGCACCTTGAGCCACTAGCAGTTGCTTTTTATTAATCTGTCTTAATTCTTTCAATGAATATTTTAGATTCCTTACTGTACGACAAATGCGGCAAAATTGCAATTTACCCATATTATCGCCCGTGGTTTTATAATAAAAAAACCATTAACTAACTACAATCATTGTTCAAAGCAATAAAAAACTCCGTTGTTAAATTTTTTTTTTTTTTTGGTATGTTGAACAGAGATGGACTAAGCCAATAGATTTGTGGCTTATATGTCCACCGTTGTTAAATTATTCACAAAGGTTTTCTCGAACTGTCAACTAAGTTAATAATAATGTTTATTTTCAAGTCAACAACAAAAACAACAATACATTGATTGTCAAAATAATTGTGAAAAACGCGGGCACTGCCATTGCGTATATTACCATATTTTTAAAATAATTCAAGCGATTAAATATCTGCAACGGGCTACGCCAATGAGACGTTATTCTTATTTACAGATTGGGATTCAACCTTGGCGGTTTTTTACAAATCGTTATGGGAATTTAAAAACCATATGGTTTTATATGTATACATTCAAATAAAACAAAACGAAAACAATGGAAAAGAAGAAGGAAAGGAAATTTATTTTAAATTTAGAAATTAGTTATCTTATTTATGTTTACCTTACACTAATGTAAATTGTTTTTATATTAAGTGATTTGCAATTTGCTTTTTACTATGCATTATTTTGTAAGACATGAAAAACAAGCAATAAATTAAATAGATTAAAATTGAAATATACGCACCAAATTCTTTTTTAGAGGATTATAAATAGCAGTTACAAAATTATGCGTAAATTAATTTACCAAAATGTATATATATCTATTTTCTTGTTTATTATGTCGGACACCTAAGTGTTAATGACTTTAAACTAAAAACATTTTTGCTAATTAAAACTATTTCAATAAAACATTAATATAATCTCGTTAAAGAATGACCTAAAAGTATGTACATGTTCGCAGGCAGCAATAAGCTTCCAAAAAAAAAACCACGGAGGGTCACAAATCTTCGTTTTTAATTTGTTCGGTTTTCTAAGCTTATGTGCGCGCCACTCTTTTGATTTTGTGAGTAATTCTGAAGACAGCAGTGGTTTTGCTTACAAAAATGTTAATAGAAAGCACAGCAAAAATTTCTTCATTTATTGGCGTTCACGGGAGAATATTTTTGATTTATCTAAATTAAGTTTGCCCTTTAATGTATATCAAAGTAATCTACATGCAGTATTATTGCTCTGCACTATTCAGTTTAAACCAACCTCAATTTACTCGACATTGGATTAGAATCAAACGGCGAGCAATTATTTCCAATATTTAAACACAGCTCGTGATACAATTAATTTTTATGGAGTTGATGCACACCTAACTGGCACAGTAAATAGGAGTCTTACTATAATTACTTTTAAAGGCTTTTTCAAGAGTTATTAGAGAAACCCCGGTGCATGATATTAACTCTGCACCAAGCATGACGTGGATCCAGCAGAGATTCACCGTTCTTATATTTTTCATATCGATATAAGTGAAAGACGTGTCATTGTGAAAATCTAATATGTAAATTTTACATTTATTAAAAGTATAAAAAATATTTGATTTCAAATCAAATCTTATTTTTAAGATGAGTAGACGTTTTAGTATAAGATTCAAAAGAAAACGTACTTTGAATTCGACCAACGAAGATGAGTTACAAATCGAAACAGAAGTTATCGGTAAAACGATTATTGTCTGGAAGTTTCTATACGTCTAGACGAACGTTGTTACTCTTGTTGTTAACAATATCATATCCAAATTTCTCATACTAACATTTATTGATTGGAGAGGTTTTGGATGGTGTATGCTTTATTGAAAAAGTATCTGCTTTCTCATCTAAACTTTGTAATGCTCTCGAGCATTCAATGTTGGCAGACGATGACGCGGAAATAAACATAACATGCCAATATTTTGCAGAAACCGAAACCTTGAGCAAATCTTCTCAGAATTTGGTTAACACATTCACCCATATAGAAATGGTGCTCCCAGAGAAAATAGTCTATTATCAACTTGAGAAGTCCAAATTAACATCTGATTTCCTTGTCAAGGATGCTGCCAAGTATTTGTCACTCTTTGAATTTTTGGTGATAATAGGTTAGAAACTTCATTCAATTAGGTATTTATGCTAAATTTTGTTAAACTTAGACAATTTGCATATGTTAAAGTGTACACAAGAGCTTGCGCATGCATACGCACAATAAAAGTTTTTCAGTAGCGAAGTCGGACTCTCGATGTTATTCGACAATGCTATATAAAACTTGCAGTTAATTGTCTTTATCGGTGTTATAGAAGTATTGGAAACTTTGAGAACACACTGTTTACCTGTGTTAACTTTGCATGTGTTGAGTGGTGTCTTACGTCTATAATTGTAAAAGACGTTATATTAAAATCATATCCTTGGCAATTGTCCGTTAGATCAGGTTGCAGATGTTTCGTTGGCAGGAAATGCACGGCAACTATCTTAGTGCAGCTTTTTCTGAACACAAAAGGCTTATTCAGCTTTAATTTTGTTTACTGACAATTTTAAAATAGCTGAAGGCGATAATCTCATGTTCGGATAAATTTATCTTTAATGGGCAATTGTTTTGCATCAATCAATATAATACATCCGCCTACTCAATAACTCGATGTGTGCTCTCATCAATTCAGACTAGCTGCTGGGTTGTAACGAAAAACTGTTTGTGCAACATGCCAATTTAGATCGTGTTATTATTTTTACCATGCGAAACCAAGTTGTACAAAAAACATGTACAAAAACCTTTTTAGGGCCTGTTAAAGTGTTTAAATGCATTAGCTTGGGGATTCCAAGTCCATTGTACGAGATGGTTACGACTTACACACAGTTCCAAAAATAATACTGACGGATATCAGTTAATGTCGACAACACGTGAGATTGGAAATTAAAGAAATTAACCGTGGAACCGTGGCTCTAAATCTGCTGCAAAAACAACTACAAGATAATAAGTGTGTTTCTAATTCAAAAATGCGTAGTAGTTGTTTTGGATTTGCTGTTGCATACAGTGAAAAAGCATTGTCGAGGTTAGAAGAAGAATTACTACCTACATAGCAAATAAAGATAAAATGAAATTAGATTTTCAATAGTAAAATGAGCAAGAGAAAAATAAATCTGTAATTTACGCACGTCGTTTTTTATAAGTGTATAGATAATTATTTTCGTATAAAATTTGAAAATTTCATATATTTGCTGAGCTAAAATTCGTCCATTATCATCGAATCAGCTAAAAATTTCTTGTAAATATTCATAAAATGTGCAACGAACGCTTCTAAATGGAAAATATATTTGGACCCATTTTGCATGCGGTGCTCATACAGGCTGGCGTACTCTAATACCTTTGCTTTAATGCTCATATCAGAATTGCATACCAGATCTTTCGCCAAACCTTGAAAAATTACTTCCGGCGGCACACCCTGGGCCAAAAGCTCATACAAACGATCCCTGATTTTTTCCAATTTAGCAGGTGTTTGCTCCGTTATAATTTGATTAGCTGTTTCATGCAAATAAGTCTTCCAATCGAGGCCAGTTATTTCCTGTTGAACAGTAAACGGATACTGTTGCACTTTACAAGTTTCAAGCATAAGTATGGCTAAACGTAAATTTCGCTCTGATTTTTGAACTATACGCTTGGCTAATTCACTAGGCAACACTATACCCTCTTTTTTGCTAATATTCTGTAAAATTGTCATCATTTCGTAAGGTCTCGGGGCAGCTACACGTATACCCAAGCATCTGGACCTTATAGCCGGTATAACCCTCGAGGTTGAATTTACAGACAAAATAATACGACAAGTGGCTACATACTTCTCCATGGTGCGACGTAAAGCATGTTGAGCATCTTTGGTTAGTTCATCGACTTCGGACAAGACAATTACTCTAAACTCTCTTTGACCATTGAGTTCTATTTGATGCACTTGGGCCACTTGTTTAATCAAATCGATTATAACTACACGATCGTAAATCCCAGCGTCGGACGGATTAACTTCTAAGTGATAATTACTGCCCATAGTCATAATGGCAATTTTACGATTGGAGGCCGTAGTAAAGGTCATAATTTCATTTCGAAGACGCTCTGCGCCTGCTCCATATAGTTCTCTTAGAAGGCACATAATTCTTGTCTTTTTACCAGCACCTGATGGCCCATAAAACATAAGATGAGGAAAATCTCCCTGCTGACACAAATTGCGCAAATTTTCCGCTTGATCCTGGAAATGAATTCACAATGCTTTAGAAGTGAAAATGGGAATAATACAATCTCACTTTATGATAATCCAAACGGGATAATTCACGTGGGCGATGCTTGTCCACCCATAAGGCCATTGCGTCTTTTTTTCGTGAATTATGGATTTCACTTTTGTGCTCGGCCGAAAAATATGAGAAATGTAGGCTTTAAATGCAAACACAATGCTTATTCTATGCGTTGTACGTAGCTCACGAACTGTCAAAATAAAGTTGATCGTATATCCTTGAATGTAGTGAACATGTAGTTGTGCTATCTTTTGCGTTAACGCGAGTTTTTGGCAAACTTCAAAAATTGAGCGTGCGTTGTTTTTGACAACCAAACTACAACCACTATAAAAGATAACTAGAAGAAATTTAATTAAATAAAATGAATTGTTAAACTGAACTAAATTAATCACAAAAAAGAAAGTATATTATATTCTGTTTTTCCATTATAAATAAATACTACATTATGTTGCTGCATTGCAAATGAAAGCTATATTTTGTTGCTATAACATAAATGTGAATGCTATACTTCATTTTTGCTTTATTGTAAAAGAAAATTCATGTTTTCATTAGATTTGTATTTCAATAAGCTTTTATTTAAATAAACTTCATTATCACGTAATTGGGTTATTTTGCGTATGTAGGACAACGCTGGCCTTCGATATTAGCGCCTCTGATGACTTTAGCAGCTCTTGTCAATTTTGGACTAAAAGTCTACCAAATTCCGGATCACACATAATGCCATCGTCACTTTGGGACTTTTGCGCCTCAATGTTAATTGCAGTAACATTATAGACCTATTGAGCACGTGCCTAAAAGAAAGAAAACAGTATAAAAATGTTTGTTATGTGTTAACGTAGCAACACCTTACCTTTGCAGCCAGAATTAGGAGAACATGTAATATTAGCATGTTTCTCAGATTCGAAATATTTTCGAAATCATCCGCGATGAGCTCCCACTTCAAATTGTTTTGCGAAGACAAATACAACAGCAGGAAGACCCCATAAGACGCGGTAAGCCTCTGATACTTCCTCCATAAGCCAAGTATCTGCAAATAACCCAAGGTAAATGTGATTTTGGAGTTCAGTTGTAACAAATGAGACTCGTGATGTTTCCTAGATAATCGACCATCGATCGGTAGACGCTGCTATTTTAAAACTGAGCGATAGGTATTTGACAATTGAGCGATGATCTCCCAGAGAATCTAATGATATAGGCAAATATGCCGGCGTTCATCTAGCGACAATAAAAGTGCTGTTGTTGAGATCAAATTTGCATTAGTATTAATTGTGTACCAAGCAGCGTCTCTTTTTTTTTTTTTTTTTTTTTGGTATGTTGAACAGAGATGGACTAAGCCAATAGATTTGTGGCTTATATGTCCAAATAATAAATTGTTGTAATTTTTAGTCACGATTATGTATAAAACGTAACAAACAAAAAAAAAAAAAGAGCGGCCGTAATAATTGGAGTGAGCATGTTAAATGTAAATGTGTTTGAAAGTGTGTTTGTTGAGTTCTTGAAAGTCAGACAGTGTTGCAAACTTTGTTTGAAAACGAAAAGGAATGTTATGGTAATTGAAAATGATTGAACGCAAAAAAAGGAAAGAGGAGGAAAAAGAAAAATTCTAAAAGGATAAATTGGCTTTTCTAATAAAGTAAGTTAGTTCCCCGAGATGACGTACAAAGAGATCGAGGAGACAGCCATATAACTTGAAGAAGCTAAAGGAATCTATAATGCCATCAAGCCTGTGACATCTGAAGATTAGATGCTCAGCAGACTCAACAACATTGCAAACTTCACAACCATCACATGGTTTAGCACGAATCATTTTTAAATAAACTTTGTCATAAGTGTGACCACTCATGAGTCTATAAAGAATTTTCATTTCCCAGGAATTAAAAGAGGATACAGAAAAGGGTTTGAATTGAAATGTGGGATTTAATTTATAGAAAAGACGATTGGATTTAACGCGCGCGATCTCTTTAAATTCGTCGTTTAGTTGTTGAAGGATGTGGCTGCGAATTGCTTCATTGGGAGTGTATTTGATGGATAAAATTGTCCCTTCAACGCGAGCTCTCCCTGCATGAAGATCGGCTTTTACATTAAAAAAAAAAGCCGCAGTGGCCAGGTACCCAAACGAGGTGACAGTCATCCACTTGAGATTCATGCAACGTCTTATGAATATTAAACACATATTGATTCTTTGCATCTCTTCTATTTATTAGAAGGAGAGCTGACCTGCTGTCAGAAAAAATAACAAACCTTCTGATACCATAGGAGATAGCAACTTTAATAGCATGTCGTATGGCGAGCAACTCAATAAAAGTTGAGGAAAGTTCCTCCGCCACTTTGACTCGATGTACTATTTTAGATAGATGTTTCACAACCGAGAAGCCAGATACATTATGTCCGACGGAACCGTCAGTGGCATATATATCATATCCATTGTTGTAATAAAAAAGGAGCTTTTCTTGGCCTAACAACCTTATACAAGAGAAGTTGACATTTTGTTTTGAGGTAGAGATCGATTCGAGAATGTTCATGAAGACTTTGCATTTGCTGGTAATGAAATTTAAGGGGGGAATTGAATCTAACTTATCAAAAATATGACGAAGTTTTTGATAGCAAAAAGTATATCTGCAAGTGACAGTATCACTGAGAGATATAATTTCCTGAAAAAAGGAAGGATTTATCATCTTGTCTTTAATTAATTCCTTGGCAGTGCAAAAAAGGGCTCTTTCGGAAACTGGCCATTCACCAGATATAACATTGAGAATATGTTGAGGAGTTGAGGGGGTCAGTCCAGTACAACGCTTCAACTGCTTGTTTTCAAATGCTTGTATGCGTTTTTCAATATATTTTGGGAAATAGCAACATGTGGAATGTCCAAATTCAATTTTGGACCTGACTAAAGATTTGTGAACGGTCAAAGCATTTTTGGGAGGCAAGCCTGCCTGATCGTTTGTCATGAGTTTGATGATGTTGCATCCAGACTGACAATCTTTGAACGCCTTTTCATAATGCCCACGAAGGGTTAAGCTGTCATTTAAAATTCTCCCAAGAAATCGAAGAGATTTTACCTGATTAACTTGGGTACCTTTGATAAGAAGTCTGATTTCACGTTTAGAACTTTTGGCAAAATAAATAGTGTTTGTCTTGCTGGGGATAAAATATAAGTTAAGATCAGTGCATGCATCGAAAAACAAGTTCGCTTTCATCGAGAGGTTATTGACAGCTGCTGGAAAAGATGAGTCCGCAGATACGATTAGAAAATCGTCTGCATATTGAAAAATGTGAATTTTGTCATCTTGAAGATCATGCAAATAAGGTGCGTATAAATTGAAGAGTATGGGGCTTAAACAACTGCCTTGTGGGATATCACCGCATATATCAACTTTTTTGGTACCCATCACCAATACACGCTTGGATAAAAAAATTAAGTATCCACAGCCGCATTTGAAGAGGAATCGAAAAGTTTAGGAGAATTCTACCGAGCTTAATCAAGTTGACACAGTCATAGGCTTTGCTGATGTCCAAGGAGAGCATGACAACCATTTTCCCTGCTTTTTTTAATCTGGCTATGAGAAAACACAGTTCATTAACGCACATATTCGTAGATTTGCGTTTTTGATAGGCGTAAGACCGAGCTGGAATAATGTTCTTAGTTTTCAGGAAAGCAGTTAGTCTCTCCTTAACCATGAGGTTGATGGTCTTTATGAATACAGATATTAGTGAAATTGGTCTGAAGCTACTTAAATCATTTAAGTCTTTACCTGGCTTGGGAATGGGAACTATTTTGATGCAACGCAAATCAGAGGGTATAAAGTTGGTGGACCAGCAGTTGTTAATTGCATGCAAAAGCATGCTAAAGCTTCCTCCAGACAGTGCTCTGAGCATGTCATACTTGACTCCATCACAACCTGCAGCAGTAGCTCTCTTTCTGGAATGTAAAACATACGTTAGCTCATGCAATGAAAAGGGTGTGTTACTGATACTACTAAAAGGAATTGAAGGCATTGTAATAGAATTAACAATTGGAATGTAACTCTTGAGCATATCTAAGTATTTTTTATTATCACGGTCATTCCATACAGCACAACCGCTTAATTTTCGACTAGAATGTCGATGACCATTGATATAATTCCAGAAGGGACGTGGGTTGCCGTTACCACATAACTCTTTAATAGCGATGGCTCTATGTGCCCTTTTCGCCTTTCTAACTGCAGACCTCTATTCTTTCAGGGTTTTCATATATTCAATGTAGTTGGCTGGATTGGCATATTTACTCATTTTTTTTCTTGCAGCTTATTATTTGCGAAAAGTGTTGACAGGGAAGAGTTCCACCACGGTTTAGGTGAGAAGAACTCAATGTCAGGAAAGTTGGTTCTAGCAGACATGATCACAGACTTAAAGGCACTTTGAATTGATGATAAATCAGAAGGAAGATCAACTTTAGACACACGGTCCATGAGGAAGTTGCGTGAAATGATATTTTCTATTTTCTTGACGGAATTGTTACAACTGTGGAATATAATGGGGGAGTGCTGACTTTTTGCCAATGGAAACATTGGACGTGTTCCAGTTGAAAGGTAAAATAGTTGAGTTAGAGAAAGTTAGATCCAAGACACTGCTCGCCGTGCGACCGCTCCGGTTACAGTGAAAGGTAGTATTGCCGTTATTTAAGACACTGAAACTGCTGGAATTGATTGCATTTACAAGGATTTTGCCTTTGTTGGTAGAGACTTGATCGCCATACAGGCGGTGTTTTGCATTGAAATCTCCAGCTAGAATCACATTTTGTTCACCGTCAAGACAGTCGCATAATCTTTGAATCTCATCACGAAAGGTTTGCACATCGAGACTGGGTGGAAAGTAGCATGAGGCTATGAAAAGATTCGGTTTCAGGTTGATGGTTTTGATGATGATGATGTCAACGGCAGAGTTATAGGGAATACGTCTGAAATTGACACCTTTCTTAACTAATACACTAACACCATCATAGCCATCATTTCGGCATTTGGTGGCTGAGGCATAATTCGAAACTTTAACTTCGAAACAATTTTCATCTCTCAGAAAAACTTCACTTAAGATACAAAAATCAATCTTGTTTGAGTTTAAGTAAGAATCTAGAAAAGATAGGTTACGTCGGACACTTTGAATATTATATTGTAAAAAGGATATGTTGAAACTTGAGAAAGAACCCCAGCGGATTTCCTCGCAGTATTGGATGCTCGAACGGGGCAAGAAATAGCATAGACAGACATTTTTTTTTTAAATTCTTTAATAAG